GTTTAAGGGTTTAGGGTTAAGGATAATGAAAAAGAACTTGGAAACGACCATAGTGTAATAGGACAGATGTATAGATATCGGGACTACTTTCGGATAATGGAAAAGCAAATGTAAATTGCAATGGTACACTAGGGATTTTTTTGGGATATCGTGACATTACAGGGAAATCTGAGGAAAGATTGAGTTACCAATAATGGAAATAAATCAATATGGAAGAGAAAATGGTCCTTGAAATGCGAACTGGGATCAAAAAATTGCCCACAATCGTAAGCAACTTTCCCCTAAGTTCCTATTACTTTGGGTTAAAGTAGCCCATTATTATGGGTAACTAGGCTTTCCAAGTAGGGTTCAGGGACCACATCCGAGTGGCAAACTGGCTTGCAGAACCCCCGGTAGTTAACATACATCCGCAGATATGGTAGTTTCCATAAAGGAGGGGACCCCAATATAGACGGCAAAATACTATAATCCATACTTTGGGAAAAATCACTACTTCTAGCAAACCCTATGACGCAATTGAGGTGGATATCCACCCAAAAAGCCCTTAAGCCCTAAACCCTAAAAACCCTAAACCCTAAACCGGGGCGCTCAAACAAAAAAACACGCCCTAAACCCTAGACCCTGAAAATAATTTCTGTGGAGCGAGGCATGCTGGGCTCCGGCTTCGACAGCGCCTTCTTCGGGGGAGGTGGTCGGGGCAAGTCATCGCCCTTTGGCCTGGGATGGTCCGGAGCCCCAGAGGTTTTGGGTTTAGGGCTTTAGGGCTGTAGGGTTTTAGGATAAGGGTTTTGGTTGGGTGTGGATTTTTCTTTTGGGGGGAGGGAAGGTGATTACTGTTTAGGGTTAGTATTGTGACTATGCCGGTTGCTATGATTACTAGAAGTGTGATTAGGATTACTCGTATTATTCTTCTTATTGTTATGATTACTATTGATATTATCATTCTTACTGTTAATGCTCTGGATATGATTACTACTACTATTGTTCATATTGTTGTTATTACGGGCTTATCTCATCCCCAGCTTTCAGGTAGAGCTGTGGAAGATCTGCCCCGTCGCCCGGCGCTCAATCCCTCTTTAGTCTGTCAGCCTGCTTCTTCTGGGCTGCTGTTAAAGAATTTAAATCAAGCTACCCTAATATGGTATAGGGGTATATAGCAAAGCATAGGGGTTTCTTGTTGAAATACGTAACTTAACTAACTTGATTTAAGTTCCTTGTTTGGTATACAGTAAAGAGAAGGGTTTCCTCATTCTAGTAACTCAAGCTCCTTAGCAGCAACCCAGTCTTGCTCGCATTTGCTGGCATAAGGTCTGGCCTCAGAGTTTCCGAGCAGAATTCAACTGCTAATCTGATTTGCGAAGTCTGCTGAAAGCGTACTTCCGCAGCACTGGTCCAACTTTATTTTCCTGATGAGTCTACTTACTGGTTCTTAGTAGGGAAGAAAGGAATATGTTATGTAGGGAGTACATGGGGATCATATTCCCATATTCCTACTAAGAACGAGTAAGTCTAGTGTACAGATGCCACTAGCGCGCAGAGGACAGGTCTAATTCGTGCGATGCTCGGCAAGAGACCACAGACTGACAGCTGCACTTGGTCCGCACAAGTGATCTCCTGTGTCTGCACAAAGCGTTAAGCTGCCTGGGATCTGTCAGTACTGCAGACGTAAAGCCCAAAACCCTAAAACCCTTAACCCCTAACCCTAAACCCCTAACCCTAAAACCCTAACCCTAAAACCCTGCCCTAAACCCCTAAACCCCTAAATCCTAAACCTTAATAAAGTGAGGAAAGAAGAGCTGCCCCGTTTGTAGAGGAGCCTATCCACTGCCACGGGTTCAAGCAATAGATCCTCATGAGTGCATGAACAAGCAGGTGCGGTGTCAAGCAGCCACAAGCAGGTTCAAGTCTCACAGTGATTGGGGTCATATAGGGATAATGGAAAAATGGCAACTAATATCATAGTATATTGGGGTGATATTGGGGTTCTTCTGGACTGGTGAAAAAAAATGGAAGCTTCTTTATAATATTCCGGGATAATGGAAAATCAAAAGCAAACTACTATTTAGGGTTTAGGGTTTAGGGTGACTGTACTGGCAATGCTAGTAACTGCACGCACATGAACTTTGCTTCATCAGCCGACCGGCAGATGTGCCAAGTACAGCGATCTTACCGGTCCATATGGCCTTGATGCCGTCCTCAAGGTTGGGTAAGGGCAAGATTGCTCCGGGACTCATCTTACTGTAAAGAATGCCCATTTACTCCCTATATCGTAAATAATAATCCCTATATAATCCCCACATCTACCCCTGGTCTAGTCCCTATATTAACTTCCTCACTCCCCCTTAAGCACCAGTACATCATGGGCATCCTCTGTTTCAGGGTCATCCCCCCTTCAACTGCAACCTCCAGGCTTCAGGGAGGTCTAGGGCCCTGTAGCTGTTGATTTGCATGCCCAACTTCTCGGCCCCAGAAGAAGGCAGAAACTCTAAACCCTAAACCCTGAACCCTAGGCTTTGAACCCTAAACTTCGAACCCTGAACCCCTAAACTTTGAACCAAAAAACCCTGAACCCTAAACCCTGAGCCCTAAAGCCTGAACCCTGAACCCCGAACCCTAAGCCCTAAAGAGGGGGATGCTTGGCCTTGCAGCACAAGCCCTGCTGTGTCTTTGTCTTACCTTTGGTTAGCTGGGAATGAAGGAATGAGTGGAAAAGAAAATGCAAACTACAGGGATTATATAGGGGTTATATAGGGTATATATATATATACATATGGGGTTATATATGGATGAGTGGAAAAGAGAATGGAAACTACTATACTGGATGATATAGGGACATCCATTCCTTCATTCCTAGCTAACCAGGGGTAAGTTGTTGGAGGCATTCCTGACTTCTTTAGACCGGGCCGACCTTGGAGGCTGGCGTCTGCACCGCTACGCCAGGAAGGGTGGTAAAGCAAGGATAGGATGCACCATTTCCCACTAGCAATAAGCAGTGTTAGGATGAATGGGGATATTCATACTTTGCCAAAGAGATATTCATAAGTTACCATAGGGATATTCATAACTTACCATAGAGATATTCATAATAACTACCATAGGGGACCATGAAAACATTCATAACTTGCTTTGCTTTGAGTTCTGCTTTGTTTAGGGCCTCGGTCATGTTTGGGCCGCAACCGGCATCTGCCTCCTGCAGCCGTGTGGGCTTCTAGCGTTGCTCGCATGTGGCCGTGTAGTCTGCGAAGATCTGAAAGCGTCACTCTCAGGTCCTTAAATGAGCTTTGGTCTGAACGCCTTACAGGGGGGTTCTATAGGTATTATACAGGGGCATACTATAGGGGTTACCAAGGGGGATGCCAGGAGTTCAGACTATGGCTCAGATGTTGTGCGCATGTGACTGTGTTGAGGAAGTGCAAGATGAAAGACGGAACAAAACCAAAAGCAAACCAGCTGACAGCCGAGGCTATGTCTCGCATCAAGAGACGGATCCATGTTAGTTTGCTACTGCTGTTGTTGTCAGAGGTTGCGCCGACCCCAGAGAACTTGTCCTGCTGATATCCCATCTGAGCTGCAGCAGAGTCCGCAGCTTCACTTGGCAGGTAGCAATACACGATGGAGCTCATGGACCCAGGATGGGCACAAACTTGCTGTAGCCTCGCCATGTAATTAGAGGCAGCATAAGCAGCTCAAATCAGGACGGAAGCCTCAAGTGATGAGATCATGCGCCGGGATGGCCCACGAGTTGCTGGGTTGCAAAGTCAATTTCGTTTTTTTTTGGGGGCTTAGGGTTTGTATGAGCCCGTATCTGACAGTGAGTTGAGCATGTACCTCCGGTGCGGGGTTTCTCTGAGGTTTCCAGACATCAGCCCAGCGAGTCATCTTTAGACGAGGACGGCTGTTTGCGGACCTGTCTTTTATAGGTAAATCAAAGCCAACAGTTCTGATTTTTGGGTTTTGGATTACATGATTACATCCGTTGTTTATCCTTTCGGGGTCTTGTTTAGATATGTTTGAATTCCTGAGCTTCCCTAACCCTTGGACCCTAAACCCTCTTCCCTGAGGCTTTGGTCCAGGGGGATGGTGTTGCAGAACAGCCCTATGGTCCCTTGGGCTTCGGTTCCTTGGGATACCCGAGCTACGGCGGCTTCGGCTCTGTTTCCTGGCCACATCTGGGGGTTGCCTAAAATTAGGGGGTACCCTTTGAGGGGGATATAGGGGTTATATAGGGATAATGGAAAGGAACATAGAAACTATTATTCAGGATTTTAGGTTTAGGGTTTCCTAAAATGAGGGCTCCTTTTTGGGGGTCACTATAGGATTCTAGTTTTTTGGTGTCTATACTGGGGTCCCCTAATTTAGAAGCCTTCCTATGCTTTCTGGTTCTAGATGGATCAATTTTCTGAGGACTACTTATTTGACTTGTATGTAGAGTTATATATACTTGCAGTCCCCCTTAAGCAGATAAGTATGGAACTCCCCAAAATCATAATCAGACTCACATATCTCATATTCTATCTACTTCAAGGGGGATTATATCTCTCTAAACCCTAATCCCTAGATCCTAACCCCCCCCCTCCCCCCCCTTATGACTGCAAGCTTGAGATTGCCGAGGGCGGGTACAGCCCACCTGTCTCCTCCGCAGTTCCTCAGCTGCATCAAACGTATGGTTCTTATGGTGAGCATTACTCTTGCCATTGTTTGTGCTATGCGAAAATTACTATTCCCAATATTACTTGTGTTGTATTCCTCTAAGATTCTTGCTGCTGCTACTATTACAATGCTGAACTAAGCCGAAGTCGCCCTACATGAGTTCGTTCTCCAACGTGTCTTTGTCGCAAGCAGAAAGCGTTGTACTTTGAAAAACATTTTGCCATGTCTTGCGCTTGCAACTTTCTCATCAGGTCCTTGGAACGCCAAAAGTCGTGTCGTGCCTTGGCTGAACAGATTGCGTTTTCTGCCATGAATTCAACATTCCAGTCATTTTTTGTTTTTCCATTTGATTTCCCAGTAATTATATGGGAAACCCTGCCATGAGAAGGTTCTAGTCAGTTATAGTCATAGTTTGGGCATTCTGTTGGGACCTTTCTCTGCTGTCAGGGCCGCTGCCAAGGAGGCGACATGCAGACTTTCTCTGTGTTAGGTACAAGCGTAATAGCAATAATCATAATAGTACTAGTAGTAATATAACTCATAGTAATAAATATAACCCAACATATAATCCGAATATACTATAGTATAATATAGTAGCAACAGCAACTGACTTGAAAGTTTTAGTCTAGGCACCGTTAGGCCTTAGGGCCTTTAGTCCATGGTCCAAAGCACAGCGCTCCCGCAGGACTCCAAGGAATCCAAGGACAAGAAGGCTCTGGGTTTAGCCGGGTTTAGGGTCTAGGGTTTAGGGTTCAGGGCTTAGGGGGTTTATACCATTACTTAGGGTTTGGAGGCGGATTTTGGCGTTTAAGATTTTGAAATTGTAAAATGCAGGAAATTTGGGAACCCTAAGCAATGGTAAGTTTATATGGGCTTGAGGGTTTAGGGTTTAGGATTTAGGTAGCCGCTTCCAGTCTTGCCGTGGCAAGGACATTGACTTCAACAACATCGATTACATAGGCCTGGGCAACCTGGTGGTACCTACGCCTTGGGTGCTACTCCCAACATTGTAACAGTCGGAGAATATGTATAAATATAGGTATATAGCCTTTAATATGACCCTTAGTAATCAGGGGGCAGTGCCCAAGCTACGCCTTTGGAGTCTTTGTCTCTGAGAGTATTGCCAGGATGTATCATCCCGCAGTGGACGGCCTGGAGCCTACTTGAACTTACTCGCGGCTAGTAGGGAATCGTGGAATGTAATCCTTAAACATTCTACTGCCTGTATATATAAAAATGTGTATATATATATAGATGTAGATGTATAGATTCCCTGCTAAGCCCCAGCAGCTACACATATGGCAAAACTTCTCAGAGTTGCTTGCGAATCAGGATGGCGACTGGATCTGCGCCGAAGCAGCCGATGTTCCAGCCCCTTTACCCAATTCAAAGAATTCAGGAACCTTCAAGGGTACATTTTAGGGGTTTAGGGTGTAAGGTATAGCGTACATATAGGGTATATAGTAGGTATACAAGGATCCCAGGTTTAGGGGCACATGGTCTCAACCTTGGATCTACCCGATTGAAAGAATACTGAGATGGCGGTGTGTCGCGTCATGCCTTGAGCATATGGCGTTGCAACATCTGTGCATCAATCCCGACAGCTATTGAAGCCAAAGCGCAGTGAAGAGTTGTGACCGGCGCGCCAATGAGAGTGAATGTACGCGAAGTGGCCCAAACCCCAAGACATTAGAAGATTCATGTGCCAACATGCGTCCCAACGGCTTTTTATTTCCCTCTAATGTTACAAGTTGGTTTGTCAACGAGTGAGGACCTGCAGATCTACGATGATGCGCAGCACAGGCCCATCGGAAAGAAGAAGGTTTAGGCCTTAGGGTTTAGACCTTAAATCCTAAGCCTCAAACCCTAAGTAGCCTGGCCTGCTGACGTGCCAGGACTCGCAAGAAGTTGCGGGAGGGGGACGTGTGCACTGTGCAGTGCCCGGATCCGCGGTACTGGCAGTCGGCACAGCCTTCTTCGTTGGTCTGCAAGTCCGGGCGATGGAGAGATCAGGCCATCTATCCTTGTGGAGTTACTGTCAGAAGTTTTCCAAATTGGGGGTACCTTTCTTGGGGGTCCCCATAATAAGGATTGTGGTATTTGGGCTCTGTATATATTGGGGTCAACCTATTTCTCGAAACTACCAAATATTCCTGGCCTCCTAAGCTGAAAGGTGTCCAGGGTGAATGTGAAGAAGATTGAGTGCGAGACAGCAGGCAAGCTTCCTTCTGGGTTTAGGGCTTCGGGTCTAGGGTTTAGGGTTCAGGGGTTCAGGGTCCAGGGTTCAGGGTTCAGGGTTAGGGTGGGGGTTTAGGGTTTAGGCTTCAGGGTTTATGTGAATGTTTGACGCATTGCACCTTATGCACCCTGTTGGCAGCTCGTTGGTTCTTCCTCGTGGGCTTCCTGACGTTTGGACTTCCTCTGTGCTGCTGCTGTGGTGCAGCCGGCGTGGTGCTTCGAATGAAGCGCAAAAAGAAGGACTGAGATACTCGGTGTGAGAGCGTGACCAGTGACTGAAATCTACTGTCTGGGTATGTACATGTATGTGTATATATATATATATACACATATAATTCTAGATTCTACATACGCTTGCCATTTTTTATACACAGAATCAGATACCCGTGCTTTGCAGGATCCGCCACCTTCCGAGCCTGCGGAAGAGAAGGCCGAGCCAGCCGCGGAGGGAGCACAGGGCGCAGCCTCTGCCCCTGCAGAGGGCGCACCGGCGGAGGCGGGCGGATTTTTCAGGAAAGGGTTCAACTACCAATGGTTAAGGTTTAGGGTGTAGGTTTAGGGTTTATGGGGGGTAGAAAAGGGGTTTATTAGGAATAGTGGAAAATGGACATGAACATGCACATGAAAAGGAATTGTGTTATATTGTTTATCCCCAAACTTGGATCAAGCAGAGCCGTTCACTGCATGCAACCTGGAAACGCTTTGCTGTCTGCGTAATTTTCCCCAATTCTGAGACTCTGCAACAGACGAGGCGACTGGTACCGCGACCTCCTGAGCCGAGAAGGTCCCCAGACCCCTAAAGGATCCCAAGAATTGAACCCCCCCCACCAATATAAACCCAGTACTACATTGGGGAAACTAGGGGATCATTAGGAGTTCCTTTTTTGTGGATCCTTTGGGGGGTCTGGGGTTGAAGACAAGCCGAGCGCCTTTCAAGGGGCCGCGGTTTCCTGGGACTGCCTTCGCGGACAAAATGATGCGTCTCAGGAAGTGCAAAGGCGGTTTAGGGTTTGTATAGGGATAATGGAAAAGAGAATGGTAACTACTATAGGGTATATTGGGGTTTATGTAGGGATAATGGAAGAGAGCATGGAAACTAGTATATCGTATATTGTGGGTGTTTTGCTGGCAGCAGCCTCTCTGAGTGAGAGGGGGTTTCTGTCCATGTCTAACCCTAAATATACCCATACATCTTCAATATATCCCCTATAACCCCTATAAACCCAAATCCCAAAACCCTACACCAACGTTTTATGCAGCCATCAATGCCGCGGCCAGGCCCGTGAGCGCGAAAGCCGATGAATCCACTCGGTGGGCCAGCCAGATAGTGCAATAGCAGTATTAATATTAGTAATGGTCGCAATAAGAATATTTGTAGTAATGATAACAAGAGAATACAATGGAGTTATATAGCGACAATGGAAAAGAACATGGAAGCTACTGTATTATAATAGGGTATGTAAAGTGTGAGTTGGGATTCTGTTTCCGTGTTGTTTTCCGTCAAGAACGGCTAAGAAGATGGAAGCAGATAAACAACGTAGAAGTTTCAAGTTCTATGAATGGAACTTATTGGGGTTGTGTAGGGATAATGGGAAAGAAAATGCGAATTACTATAGAGTATATTGGGTTGATTTAGGGCTAATGGCCTGACAGGCCACAATGGCTTTCTGATGAAGGCACGGCCTGTCTCTAATGTTCCCAACACCATGGAGAAATTGACATGGGGATACCATGACGAGTGTTATGCCATTCCCTGGGCACTGATCGTTTCGGCATTCATGCAGTATGGGGTTCGTAACAACACGCTCGTTGAGCCGTCCGTTGGATGGAACCGCAGCTGGACATGTTCTAAGCTGGTCAAGAGTGTCTGTAAGTCATCAGGAAGAAATGTTCTTGGACGAGCAGTCTGCACCTGGGAACTTTGTCGGGCCCATACCTTGTATTCCCAGATGCGTTCTCACCTCCAGCCCTTCTCCCCTTCTTGAAATTTGCTTCTTCACCTGCCTCTCTTTCTTCTCCTCTCTCTTCCTTCTATCTCTGTTGAAGACTCTGCATGGTTCGCAGTTAAACGCACTGCGGTCGTTAACGATGAATTCACCAGTATCCCATGCCGATCCGTGGATCCATGGCGACGCTTGCAACCCAAAAGACATGGGGGTTAAAAATGAGGGGTACTTTTTTGGGGGTCCCTATAGTAAGGCCGATGATATTGGGCTCCATTTGGGGTCCTCTTATTTTTGGAGATTATTACATCCCTCAGCAGGTGGCCCACTTGCCTTATTTGACACAAGAAGGGTAGCTTGCCAGTTGGGAAAGTTGCAGGCGGGAGAACACCTTCCGCTCGTTGCAGATGGCCTGCGGTGCGCCTCTGGGCTTCAGGGCATACTCGGCGCATGCACGGAAATCTCAGGTGCTACCACAAATTCAAGGGCCAGCTTGCACCCCAGCAGCTTTGGGTTGGAACCCTTTTTGTAAAAATAAACGGCTCTCCTGAACAGGAAATAGGAAAGCTGTGCTGCCCACATGGCCTTGAGCTATCAGCAAGGGAGCTGTTTTCACGCAGCAGCCGCCTAGTCTCTGAGGACCGAAGCCGAAGAGCGAGCAAGAGCTTACTCGCTACAGAGATACTTGGGGAAGGCTCTTGCATGGTCTGGGTTGATGTCAAGGAACTTAAGCTAAGTTACCATAATTCGTATATGTAGTGATTAATATGGTTCCCCAGTTATAGTAATTCAGATTAAGTTCCTCAACAGCAACCCAGGGGTTGTCTTCTGGAGCGAAACTTCCCACGATCTTTGCTTCAGGATGGAGCGTTGGTCAAGGTCAGCAGGGTGCACACAGACGGGGGAAGGTTTTCGAAATTGTGATCCGTTTTTTTTTGGAGACCCTGAATTTCAGTATTTGAATGGGGACCCACAACGTCACCATAATTCCGAGAACCTTCCCCATGGATGCAAATCAAGTCAATCTGCTTTAATACACTACAACATCTTATTATATACTGTTATAAACTCTGCTAGACTTTACTATTGATGCGAACTTATACGAATATACAATAATGAGTTATAATATGCAACTGTATATCTTAATCTACTATATATGGATCTTCCGGTTCAGGTGGCAGAGCTGCTGCCTGGGTCCAACCTCATTGCCTCAGTACGCCTTCCCAGCTGGCAACATCTGAGCATCTGAGTGTAGATTCTGTATGATGCCTATATACTCCTAGTTCCCTTAATTTCCAATTTTCTGTACAAGGTCTCCCCAAATCAGGTTTGTGACCGGGAATGGCTGAAGATACGGGATGTCACAGATCTGCATGAATTATCTGCTGTATTTGATTCTCCATTATCCTATAAATCCCTAATCCAGCCCAGTTCATGTATAGGGTTTCGGGTTTAGGGTCCAAGTACCCAATAATTAGGTCCCTTTAAAGGGGATCTATAGGGGTATATAGGGATGTATAGGGTTTAGGGTAGTGTAGATCTGTGACTCTCATGGTAGAGCGGCGGAGGCGATGTTAGACTTGCGGGGCTAGAGCCCTGGCTTTGCATTTGGTCAGTATAATGGAATATACTAATATTATATACTATAACATATTATCACATCTGCCATAGTATACCAGAACATACTATGATATATCAGAAAGTATAAAATATAGTATGATACGTTATAACCTATTATAGAAACTTATATTGCATTCTTTTGTATTAGCAATTAATATATAGTATGATATGTTGTTAGATATGATAAAACCTAGAACATATTTTTATGTATTTGTAAATACTGTAACATCTTTTGTCAGCGAGCTCTGCAGCAGGGCACCACCAAGAAGCCCAGGAAGCCCTGAAGCGGCAGCCTCTGCTTCGGCCTTTTGTTGTGAGATATCATGACGTATGATAGTATGTGATCATATAGTATACTATAGTATAGCCTATTTTCGTATTTTATGGTGTAGTATACTATGTTATAGTATACTGTGGTATATTTTAGTATATCATACTATGTTCTAGTATATATTATAGTACATCAAGCGTCATGTTTGGAACTCATGCGCTGCTGCTGCGCCTGCGCAGTCTGCTGAAGAACTGGCAGCAGTGTGGCAGCCCGGATGGTCCACTAGCGAAGGTCCACTCTGGGCTTTCCAAGAGTGATGGCTGTTAAAACATGCTAGAAGACCAAAGAGATGGCACCTGATGTACCGCTGCAAAGCTGCGAATCAAGATAAGCATGTCCCTGGAAGTTAGCAAGAAGCTGCTTCATGTGAGCTATAGTCTAAACTCCTACTGTAGTATCCCCCTTAGTAACCCCTATAATACTCGCCCATAGGATCCCCCCTTAAGGAGTTTAGATTATAGCTCATGGGGAGCCAGCAGTGCTCTGCCATGATGCCCTAAACCCTAAACTCTTAACCCAAGAGTGCCTGCAGGTAGCTGAGATGTTACCTGGAGTGGATGTGGGGCCCTTAGCCGTAGGACGTCCCAGCAGCAGCTGCGGGGTAGATGCAACCAGCAAATCAACCTTACTGGTTCTTAGTAGGGAAGAAGGGAATGCAATCCCTATAATATATAGTCTATAACATACAGTATATAATATACATACATATATATATAAATATTTAATAAGCCCTATATACTCCCTGTATAGTACATTCCCTTATATAGGCATTATATTCCCATATTCCCTACTAAGAACCCGTAAGCAACAGGTTATTGCCTTTGGCATCCACGTCCAGTCTGGGAACTTCGCGCAGGCGAGTTGTAAGGGCAAAAGCTCTGAAGTGAAGAGGAGTCTGTCTTGGCGAGCACGCTATATAGGTAATCTATATGAACTATAGTCTAAACTCCTTAAGGGGGGATATATAGGGGATTATATAGGGAACTACTATAGGGGTTATTAAGGGGTATACTAGGAGTTTAGACTATAGCTCATACAAAAGCTATCATTAGATATATGACCATGAATATAAAACATGTATATGTACATAGGGAAGCTGACCCCGGATAATGGAGAATCGAATGCAAATAAGCATAGACAATGACATGGAAACTAGGGCTGACGCTGGAGATATTGGTACTCCATTGGAGGCACTCCGCAGCATCTCCAAAACCCGCTGGACGACCATTACGGCCAGCCCAGTGTTGCTTTCGCTGTCTGAAGCCATTGTGCAAAGCTTTGAGTGACAATATTAGAGTTTAGGTTTTAGAGCAATACCAGTAGTAAGAATAGTAAATCAAAATCGGAAGACTGGAAATAATCTACAGTAGGAATACGGGAAATAATATCAAGAGTAAGTAGGGTAAGTGCTTCCATGGAGGGAGATTCCGTGGTGATCAACATGATGGTGGAGACGCTTCATGGCTGGACGATTACCAACCTAGAGGCCCTGAGACCTGGAAAAAGAGAGAGAATTTAGGATTAAGGTTTTAGGGTTTGGGGATTACTTAGGGATGAGGGTGTAGGGACTCGGGTTTAGGGTAAAGGGGTTATGGTTTAGGGATTAAGGGATGAGGGTTTAGGGTTCAAGGCTGCGGTTTCGAAAGCTGCCAGCTTAGGGATATCCAGGGTTGAAGTTGCTTTTATTCAGTGGTTTGTAGGGATGAATCTAGGGTTTATTGTAAATTCATGAGGATCAAAGGCAGAGGAGAATAGAACATAGAATGTGAAACTGGGTTGCTTAGGTGGTGAACCTGGATGTCGATCCGGTGGCAAGCTTCATGTATGGAGGTGGGAGGACCGACTCAACATCTGCTGTTCCACTCTAGACCCTAAACCCTAAACGCGTTCCACTCTTGGGATGCTGCTGGTGACAGGTCTGCTTGATGTGGTGATGCTTCTCATCGAGGCTCTTGCTGTCTTCAATGCACCACCTAAGGAAATATCGATCCAAAATGATCCCCTATGCAACCCCAGCTTTCATTGAATTGTCCATATGTTTCCTGAATTTGATTGCCCATTATTCCTACGTATTCCTAAATTGCCTTACAAGCTGACTGCCGCAGGAACGTGTCTTGGAGCCTCCTTCACTCCTCTCAGTAAGTAGGTTGATAATCCCTATAACCCGAAAAGTAACCGCAGCTATCCTGATTATTAACCTACTTTCTCAGTCCCCATGACCCTAAACCCTCAACCCTGACTAATGACTAGCTTCCATTTTCTTTTCCATTATTATCCTACTTACTAAGTCCCCATGACCCTCCAAAAACCCTAAGCCGCTGCATTAGGTCAACTCGCAGGGCCAGCAGCGTGCGGCCCCCTGGGCTTCTTGTGGCGTCTAAGCCCTAAACCCAAGCCCTCAACCCCAAACCCTAAACCCTAAACCCCAAACCCTCAAACCCTAAACCTTAAACTCTAAACCCCAAACCCTACACTCTAAACCCCTAAACTGCTTGGTTGGCTGAACGCCCTTCCTGCGAGGTTCGCAACGCCGTAGGTTTGCGCGGTCTGTGAGTCCACGGCCAGATGCGAAGCCCAGGAGGAGCTAATAGGGATATATGGAGCTTAGGGTGAAGGGTTTAGGATATATATATATATGTATGTATATGAGGATGTCTATTGATCTACAAGGATATATATATATGTATACATATAGATAGATATGTAGGGTTTGTTCGGGTTGGGGATATATATAGGGTTTTGGTGGTTTTGGGATTTATGTAGGGATTATGTAAGGTTACATAGGAACATATACATCATAGGTATATACAGGATCATTTACTATGATGTCCCAAGCAGAAGTCAGCTTGCAAAAAAACGTTCATGCAACCCTAAACCCTAAACCGTATAGTAGTTTTCATTTTATTTTCCATTATCCCAATATACCCCTAATGTTGACCCTTAAACCTCCACCCTAAACCCTAAACCCTAAACCCTGTCGTGGTGGCTTCTGGCTCAGAAGTCCACCGAGCTTCTCCCTGTCCTCGCAATCCCCTTCACTGCATTGCCAAGATGTCGATGGCATGGCTCCGGGAGGCAGCCGCTGCGTCCGTGCAGAAAAGCAAGGCCCCTTATGTGCTGATTCTTACTGTTGGTTAGAAGGGAATATCATATAATTAGGGAATATGCATAGGGATTACATTCCCTACTAACCGCCAGTAAGGTGTATTTTTGTACTGCTTTGCTGATCTGTTGACATGACACCAAGCTACTTGCAGACCTACTCAGCAGGCTCCCCTTGCCAGCCCTGACGCCACGCAGACCTCGTGGCGCCGCATCGACGACCTGGGCGGAGGGCTCTTCCTCTGCGGCGCAGCGGCTCTCGACAACAGGGCCGAGTTGGAACGCCTCGGAATCCGTTCAATTCTGAACTGTGCTACAAAGGACATCTATGACCGATCTTATTCCGGAGGAGCACCTCTGCGCCAAAAATTGGAAGGCTACAATGTGCAAACCTTTGACGCCGAAGACATCGAAGAGCAGCCCATGACCGATCTGTGGAAGCTCCTGGCTCAGCATTCAAAGCACCATCATATAGTAACGCAGTAATAATTTAGTCATAATAAGACAAGGAACAATAGTTGTAATAACAATAGTAATAGTAGGAACAATAGTAGTAATCGTAAAAGGAAGAACAGTAGTAATAATTATTGTAATAATAGTACTATTAGTAGCACTGGTAATTAAGGTAATAATAGTAGCAATAGCAATATTAATGATAATAGTAATAAGAGTACAATTAGTACTAATAGTATTCGTAGTATTAATAGTACTACTAGTATTAATATTGCTAATAGTAATAAGTGTACGAATTTCAATAATTGTAACAAGAACTTGGCAATGGCATGCAACCATCAACGTGCTTGAAGCATTTCTGAGGTCAGGCTCCGAGTTCATCGACAGCTCCCTGCAGACGGGAGGTGGTGTGGCAATCCATTGTGCTCAGGGCATTAGCCGGTCAAGCAGCACCTGCATCGCATATCTCATGATGAAGGAACTTACCTGCAAGCGATGCGCACCAAGTTCCATGCCGCATGCTCTTTATGGGTGGATGTCAAAATTATGATCCCTTTGTGGGTACCCTAAATATTGGGTGCTGTATTATAATAGGGACCCAAAGAGGGACCATAATTTTGACAACCACCCTTATGATGTCTGCATGTGTGCAGGAGAGGATGACATTGGATGCTGCTTTCCGCCGCGTCTTCCAAGCACGGAACTACATCCGCCCCAACCCAGGCTTCTGGCAACAGGCCCTGCGCAAGCAGTCTCTTGTGATGGGGAGGGCTTTAGTGTTAGCAAGGGTCTTGCCCGGTTCGCCCGCACTGAGCTCATAGAACCCCCCACATGCATCCACACATCCCGTAAACACCTGAGTCATGACCACCTACTCTACACCGACACCTTACCCGTTGCATACCCCACAACCTAGCCTGAACGGGGAAACGCCCCCTCCATGGGAGACCTAACCTAGACCCGGAAACCTGAACTGGAAAATGCCTTCCACATGGAGACTCACATTAAAGCCATCCGGTGGAAATGGCTACGCCGGCATCGTCGTGAATATGGAGGTGCCCTCTGCGTGCTTAAACCCTGTAGCATGTCAGGCGCAGTCAACTAGCCGAATGTGATCTCTTCGCCTGCTTCTGAATCACTGATAAGAGCAGCACAACTCAAAGCACAACTCTAAACAGTGTTTTGGGCTCAGCAAGTCTTCCACATCCTGTTTCCCTTCCGGGCATGGGAGCCATCACGTATGCTTCCACATGTGAAGCATGGCGATGTGTTGTGAAGCCATCCATGACCGTGGCTTTTTGGACTTCTACCACCATGGCAGAGGAGAGCGACCGCAGCGACTTCACGTGCTCTGAAGGCGCGACTTTCTTCGGCAAGTCGGTGACTGCCCAGGATGGGTCTAAGTGGCTCTGGAACGAGACAAGCGGACTCTTCGTGCCTGTGGCTCATCCGGAGACAAAGACCCCAATGTTTGAGGAGATGCGCTGGGAGTGTCTTGAAGGTCTTGACGACAGCAATGTCAGGGGCAGGAGAACCTCCAAGCTCTCTGACGTGTCTGAGGCAGAGGTGAAGATGGGCCAGACCATTTCAGCTTTGCCGGTGCCAGAGCACCCTGGCTGGTTGATGGAGTCCGAGAGCAAGCTGTATTATCCCATGAACCACCCAAACACAGGTGCCGCCCTTTTCAGAATGGTTAGGAGTAAGCCAAAAACCTCGGCATCTGGAAGCAGTATGGATGTTGAGCAGGGACAGGGCAGTCAAACACTGAAGCTTGAAGATGACCCCACATGCCAGCAAGTGGCCACATGCTTGAGTTGTTTCTGTCCCATTGTTGGTTGCGTGACATTTTGCATCAGCACTGCGAACCACAAGCAAGGATCGCGGAAGAGAAAGTGGGGCAACATTGCCTGCGCGGTAGGTACTTGTTCTTTCCTTGCTACTATAGTGCTTCAGATGTACGGCCTGTGATTGTGCAGAGGTGCAGGCATTCGCAACTTGCAATTTTGACGTCACTTCATCCACCCAACACATGACCTAAGCAATCGGCACTCAAGATGGTGACGTTCCAGATCTGATTTAAGTTGCCCCTTCATCTGGCAACAGTTGTCCTTCCGGTCACTGCCCCGGTGTGTTGGACCTGCATAAGATGGGTGCCCAGGGCCAGTGTCCGGTGTGCAACGGTTTGTTTTAGAAACCGTCAGACCAGACCTGTCAGATCTTGAGGAAAAATTGTTCGCTCATATGAGGGTTTGCTCATATGAGTGGTGCTTTCTATTGGGGGGGATACAATGGCACCCAAGAACATAGGGTAGGATTATATCCTCTTTTTGTAGTCTTACTTGGTTCAACCACCCAAGAAGCGCTACCCATATGCCGGGTTTGAAATACAGAGCTGATTTCCTAAACCTGATCGATGTATGCGCATACCCATTTCAGCAAGGAAACCGCATAAGACAAGCTTCCGGCCAGGTTCACAGATTCTTCGACAACCTGCGATGTCTCGCGCTTGTTCGGTTATTACGATGTAGGGTTTGGGGTTTAGGGACTGGAGGTTAGCTTTACGCCTGGATTCAGTCTTGAGCCCAAGGGCTCTGGCTGTCATTGAGCCATGGACGTCTGAAACAACACCTGCTTGGAGCAGAGCAGAGATCTTTACACAGTTTCCATTTTTCTTTCCATTTTCTCTGGACAATCCCAACATATAGCCTGTTTTGCAAAAAAGGGGCATTCCTAACTTGGCTACGCAATGCGCTTTGTTTGGGGCTGGGAGGATCAATGCGCTTTGTTTGGGGCTGGGAGGATCAAATAAAAAAGCTCGCTTTCTTGCCTCTGCGTACAACACGGAAATCATAGGAACCCAGGAAAGGAAAGTAAACCTGCAACTGAACAAAGCATATCAAAACACGGATAGGACAACCGGATAGTCATGATTGAGGAGGAAACCACACACCACAACACATCAGTTGGGTGCTGCACTCTTCAACTCTTTTTTCAAATTCGCTTCCAGACTTTCAATGGCGCGTGCTCTCATGAACCCCGTTGTCAGTCTTCTCTATAGAGCAGTAGTTCTTCTCTATTGTCTCAACTGTGTGGAGAGTTTTCACCCAATGAGGGTTGTTTTTTTTTCTCACTACTTTTTTTTTGCGCGTCGCTTAAAGATTGTCTCTTGGCTGGGCCCGCACCACCCACTAGTGACCATAGGGGATCATGGTAAATGAGCTTCGTTCCACTGTATTCATATTGTTTCACAGTGGGTGGGGCATCCACCAACACCGGCCCCTTCTTCTGTTTTGGGTATGTCGTTTTGCGTTGGGCCTGAAATGACATGTCAAATTTGGCAGTTCCAGTCGCAGACGAAATTCTGTATATAATCTATAATCTCTCCACAGTATCAACTATGCAGTGTAAGCTTTGCTTGCATGTTTCAACCCGCTTAGGCAGCAGACCTTTTCTGGTTAAGTTATTGCCCTCCTCTAACAATGCTGGATGTCATCTTGTTCTATGTATTTCAGTTTTTATCCCTCAAGCGTACCATACTGGGCTTGCTGAGAAGCTGCCCTCTTCATCACCAGAAGAATTTCAGTCATCTCCTATTTGTTTGTAGCCCTTCCACGATTTCTGCTGAAACGTCTGTCGCCTCTTTCTTCGTAACAGCAGCATGCTGACCAACGAACCTTTGAAACTAAGCCTCATCTAACTTTTTCGTTTTCCAATTGACGAGGGAACACTTTCTACCGAAAGAGACATTGGCCCAACTAAAACATCAAAGTGGGCGTGGGGTGGTGCACAACTAATCTCACCAGGATGCTTTCGCTTTTCTCCACCAGTCGTCCTAAAACAGCTCCTCAACATCTTCTGTCGCAACAATTTTGTCGTCTCTTCGGGCATCCTTGAGCGTAGTTGCCGTACGCCCCAAACCCGCAATTAACATCAGTATCTGAAACATTACTTGGTTTAGAGTCTAGGTTTTAGGTTTAGGGTTACATTGTTGTAGAATGAAATATCAACATTTTAATGGGCCTACAATGACAATACAAGCACCACGCAACACAATTATCCACCGCACGGCACATCATGGGTTCCCCTCTACACTACCCCCTAGGTTCTCCCTTAGTGAAGCCCCTTAATTAGGCTCAATGTTCATTAAATAACGTTATTTAAGGGGGGAACTGAGGGGGTAGTATAGAGGGGGTAGTAGGAAAACCCATGAGGATAACTCTTCAGTCTCCATTTCAAATCCTTTACCGCATTTCTGGCAGTTGACTCGCAATCTCTTGACAGGCCATACATTAGGAGAACCCCCCCACCCTGTAATATGTAATCGTGGCTATAAGGGATAGTGAGGATTATATTAGGGTCCTCCTATATTCTTATTTTACCACTATTACAGAATGTAGGGGGTCCTCCTAAACCATACAGTTTATCGCCCTACCTGCTTTTCATTTCTTTATCTAAGCAAATCAAACTATTCGAACCTGTCACTCTTAAAGAGCCTGACCTGCCCAAATTGGTTTAAACCCTAAACCCTAAACCCAAATTGGTTTAGGGTTTAGGGCTCAGGGTCTGATCTTGTAACTGCTGTCCAAATGCATTCAAGACACACCAAATGGAACAACTTCCGCTCGTGAATGGTTTTTTCCTTAAGCCATGGCAATTAGTGCACTAATCATGCCTGAGCTGCTTCCCTATTGTTTCTCTTTATTTGCCTTGAATCTCTCACCGTTTCACTGCCCATCTTGTGATACCGTAAACCCTACGCCCTAAGCCGTAAACCGCTTATAGACCCTACATACCATACCCCTCACCTACTTCACAATCTCCAGTTTTCAAACGCCTCCTCCTCGCCTCCGCAGATACACCCATGCAGGGTTTAGGGTTTAGGGTTAAGGGTTTGGGGTTTAGGGTTTAGGGCGTTATTCGTAGATGCTATCTTGTAGTCAGACGCCATCGCATCATCAGTGGTTTGAAAGTATCTCTTAATCAGCTCTTCCAACGACAATCTATTAACGCACGCATCGGCATACATATCATTTACTGTTTTTGTTGTTCTGCTGAAGTATGGTGTCCGGGTGCCGATAAGCACATACTTCTAGATTTTGGCACTTGGATATCCTGACCGGGTGGCAGTTGCGTAGTATCACCAGTTGCTGTTGTTATCTTGTCGGAGTTGTCAGTAACAAGCAGCTTTCTCTTGTTTTCAAAGATGCCAGATATACATAGATATACTTCACCAAGCACGATTACACTACGTGGGAAGGGGAAGGGGTCATATTTAGGCAATTCCTCTCGTTTCTCAACCGGCACACCAGAAACTGTTCAAGGTTGTTGCCCGATTTTCGTTCTCTTGGGATAGGCTGTTAGTCTGCACGGCAAGCAGCACATCACTACCCGATTTCTTGAAGTTCACTCTTATATAACTCTCGCTAGTACTCCTGACTCTTCCTACAACTAGCCACTTACCGCCGCAGTTTGTAGTTTGTCCGCAGATGGTTGTTGTGTCCCGACAGTCTTCTATGTTAAGTCTTTCGTTAGTAGGATGGGGCGCATTGACAAACTCGTTACATTTAAGTTTGACTTCATCAGCTGGCAGTCTTACTTTCTTATTCTTTTCCAGTCTCCACCCTCGGATTTTATGCTTCTCTTCTTAATCCGCAAGAGTTTAAGACTCTTAATTTAAGATGTTACCTTTCAGAAGTGTATATATCATCGTTCCCTCTCCCCAATGTGGTTCTGAGTTTATTTGTTCTGTATCTGCCGCACTGCCATTTGCTGCCTTATCCGGTGCAGGACGTGTTGCTTGCTCCTTTCCGCTTCCGCCTCT